ATATATTACATATCTATTGATAGATTCCTGATATATATAAATTTTGTAAACAAATATTTTTCATTTTCATTTACACTCCCATTTTTGTCTTTCGTTCTTGTGCACACTATTGCTATCACGATTTATTGGGTAGTTTCCAGGAAAGGGTGATTGTATTCAGGGTCTGATATTGAAACCAGGCATTATCTCATGAGTTTCTCACCAATAACTATGTCTGATCCTACATCTGCTGACACTGTGCAGGTTCCATGTAGATTTCCTGCAGCAATTATGACGTGGTGATATGTCAAACAAAACTGTCAACACAATGATACAAAGAAAGCAATAATGGTGCTGATTACTGGATATGTACTACAGTATGGGCTTTTACTCCCTCAACAAAAGGGCACAGGGCTGGGAAAAGCAGAGTCGCAGAGTTATGGCCAGCAACCTATGCATTCTAATCAAAACCCCTCATTTTAAAATACTTTAACCCATTTTATATCCAACCATAATATGCACAGCACTTCAGATGTCTATTAATGAGAAACCTTATCGATATATGTATAAACTCAGATGGGAGGGAACTGATGGGCAAGATCCCTTACATTTTAGTTAATATCCGTCATCATCCACATTTATCAGCATTTTAAACAAGCGGTGTTTCTTCAGGCAGCCTAACTTATGCTCATAGGGTCTATGTCACCCAGGGTACTGCCGGAACGTACCCTGGTCACTATTTGATATGGTTAGGGTTAGGGTCCGGGTTAGGGAGTAGGCGTAGGCAACTCCCTAGACTCGTTAGTGGAGTAGGCGAGGTACGGTCCGGCATATTAGATAGTACCAGGGTACGTTCTGCATGGTATACCAAACCGTACCCATGGTACATTCCGGCAGTACCCCGGGGGACATAGACCATCTCCGCCTAACTTACCCAAACAGAGATTACCGCTCTCAGTCGTGAATGAGGACTGATCAGCATAAACAGCTTTCGCACTGACGTCTCCTTTCTCCGTGTGGACAGAAATGTGATTTCCTTGTAATCGATCTGCACTCACATTCTGCACGAGAAAACATGGATGGCTACATCATTTTCCATGCAGCGTGTCATCAGTGTGTGCATACACTTGCTACAAGTGTTTGGAGCTCATCCATGGCAGCACAAATGCATAAAATGCCCCCCCCCACCAATCATTACATCTGACACAGACATAGACGTCACACAGACATGACATGGACACGGACACAGACATGGTGGTCATTTATTATTTCCCCTGCAGTCAGGTAGCTCTATAGGTTATTCTTAGCAAGCTACGTGAAACAATATTTTTCTCCTGTACCGCATTCAGTGATTAGTGACAAAACTCTTGTGTGAATCAATTTCATAGCCATTCAGACATGGTAGACATGATAACAATTTCGACGACTTTCTAGGACCAACATAACATCCACTTTTCCAGGACCCTCCACGACCATATGCTATTTTCTATGACTTTCCAGTCCCAGAGCCATTTTCGAGAATTTTCCAGGGCTACCGTTTATTTTTCAGAGATTTTCACACCTGGAAAATAGCATATTAAACAACTGCAACTTTCCAGGATCCATACAAAATCCTGTAATATCGATCAGCTTGTACTTACACCATTCTGTTGAGCCGTGATGGCGATGTCACCCTGAGCAAGCCCGAGCAGACTGACATCACCACTCATTGACATCACGCTCAGCCTCCCTACCTGAATCAACAATGCAAACATGTATGTAACGTTAATTATTCACGCAGCAACAAAAGCGTGGATGAAGAAAGACGTGCATGCCTCGCTAAGAGTTACTGTATACGCTGTATATATTTCGCGATGGTTTAATTTTCGCGAACTTCGCGAACGCTTCCCCGACCGCGAAAATGACAACACGTGAGTAATTCATACCGAATAATACCGAACAATTCATAATTCACCGACCGCGAAATTAACCACTCGCGAAATTGTCCGTCAAGTCTGATTTCGCGATAATATCTGTACACGAAAAATATGGCGCATACAGTAGCTGCCCACCTTAACACTGGCAAGTGTACAGCGCCCTCTATTAATATGCAGAGTGCATACATTGCTCTCCATGCTGGCAATGTGTAGGTTAGAATTCGCTTTCATGTACAGTTGCACATCTGAAGTGTATGAATGAGCTTGTGAACAACTTATCGATAATAAATGAATAACGCACCCACACACACGTACACGTACACGCACATGCACACATATGCATACAACACTTTCAGTTTTCCAGAAATTATCAAAGTATTCATTAAATGTTCATTCTTTGTGGCTGTCGTGTTACGAAATATCGGCTCCACCTCCATCAGGGCTCATGGAAATCAAGTCTCAGCGTTAGTTGTTGAAATCAAAAACATGTCCATTCCAACTAAAAACGATGCTGAAAGCTGGGTTTGTCGTATTTCCCCGCATATCTGATAATTACCAGTTCTTACCATATTGTGGCGGTAACTCTAGTTCAGTCATCAGGCAACTATCACTAGACAAGCGATCAAGTGTGCCCTCTAGACTGAACTCTGGTTCCGACTTCCTGCTAGTGATGTTCAACTTCACCAGCTCGCCCTCAACATCGTCCGCAGTTCTGTTCCCCCTGACCACCCGCAATCGAATTCGATCGTCATAAAGTGGCGCCGCCTGGACGTGCGGAATCACTCTGAGATCACAGGACGACGTCAACTTTATTCGGCCGAAGCGCGGTGCACTCTTGTCGTAAACGATCGTATCTGCCACCACCTGCGATGACATCTGACGCTGCTGCCGCCGCATGTATCCCATCCACGGCGACAGACTCTGTCTCCAGTATCTCGCAGCATCCGTTGCAAGTCTCTGGAGCGCAGACCCGCTACATGTTCCCACAGCGATCATGTCTATGGCAGCAGTGCGACAGCCGTCTGTAAATGGAAATGTTGCAATCTGGATAGATATAATGGATATTATATAGATGTCAAGAGATGGCAAGGCCTTACATATTAAGGGATGCTCAATCCGCTTATAAAGCCTTATACGATAACATGATACAAGCCGACATTAAAGATTAATTGAGCCCTTTAGTGACCCATTTGCATTTACGATATAATCATGCAGATATACTTACTTAGAGCCATACTATGCAGTTCACCTAATGAAGAGTCATGATGTATACAAAATGAATGGGCATCAACGATAACTAAATCAACTCGTGCACACGTGGGATGTGGAGTGATCTTTTGAAACAGTGTACGCCTTTGAACGCTTCCGAGCCGACATTGTGGTGATGTGTAATACTAATTAATGCTCGGCATTGAGAGTAAAGTTTCGTGTTCAGGATAAACCCACATTGGAAGTACGTAGTACCCAAAAACACATATCATAACACCCCCCCCCCCATGTGAATCACTCAGGGTGGCTCCACGCAAAAACGGTGTTGGCGTTGTAACCCTACTCTTATCTTATAGTTATATCGTTGACGTTGGGTTACATTCTTGTATGGAAGTGTCTAAACAACCAGATCCGGTTTCGGTATCCTGAAAACTTAACAACCGGCTCTCTTCTCTGATTGGCTAATTTTGTCATTATTTCATTTTTTATTATTTTTGGCTAATTTTACTTTATTTTAGAATTAGGGATGTTAGGGTTAGGGTTAGGGTTAGGGTTAGGGTCTATAGCTCTCATTTTTAAGTTGGTTTCAGTGGCTCAACGGTAGAGCTTTCACTTCGTGATAGTAAAGTACCGTGTTCGAACCCCATAAGATGTTTTTATTTTCCTCTGCTTTCTGTATTTCTTTGAATTTTATTTGTTTCTGCATTTATTTGTTCCGTATTCATTTATTTGTTCTGTAACTTTTGTTTATGTTTGGAATAAAATATATTTCTTTATGTTTTGCATTAAAAATTGTCCTATTAGTATTATATTGTAGCGGTGGCATCGGACCCTCGGGTTCCTAGCAGGGTGGTTCCCTGGGAACCGGTGTGTGGGTGATCCGTGTTTGTGACTGTATAATTATTTGTGATGTCTGCTGTCTATTAGTGTGCGTTTTCGTGGTGTTTTGCCGGCTCATCAATTAACGATGTAGATAGTAGAGTCCCTACATGGGGGCAGCCATGTTGGGTGGGTTAGCCACCCCCTCTAGCGGCCGTGTGTAGCGCGAACCGTGTGAACAGCTAGTGTAGTGCCGTGTGGAAAGACACGGTACGTAGTTCGGCTCGGGAGACACGAAACGCTACAATATATTTGTCCTGTTATGTTCGGAAACTGACCAATCAGAGAAGAGAGCCGGTTGTTTAGTTTTCAGGCCTCCGAAACCGGGTCCGGTCGTTTAGACACTACCTTCTTGTATCTACAGTAGTACCAGCATTGCATGAAGAATACTGAATAGTAGCCCGACCAGGCTGTGCGACGGATTGTCTATACAGCCTGACACCCTTC